TGAAGCTCATGCACTAGCAAAGTTGCTTAGTGACCCCTCTTGGGTCCTGGAAATATTCTATGTCTCAATGTAAAACTTCATTGAGCCCTATACTAAAGTAGAGCTCTATAATGAATTAGTGTATTTCACCATATGTAAAGTTACACCTCCATACAAAATTAGATTAAAAGACATGCACAGAAGTGTTTATACAAACTTTATTTGAGGTGCTGGGGAGGGAACTGAGGGCATTGTGTATACTCAGGAGTACTCTGTCACTCAGCTACTAGGTACATTTTTATATTACTGCAATCCCAAATTGGAAACAAAGCAGATGTCCACCAGTAATAAAATCAATAAATAAATCATGGTATATGCATATTACATAAAAATGTAAAATAGGGCCGGGGATTTAGCTCAGCAGTTTTGCCGCCTGCTGCGCAAGAGCAAGGACCCAAGCTCAATCCCCGGTACCAAAAAAAAAAAAAAAAGTAAAATAAACTACTCATATATACAAAGATACGAATGAATCTCAACTAACAAGATGGATGGCAAGGACTCAGACAGGAGCTTGTATATCCACAGTCATGGCACCATTATTGTTTTTAATATTTTCTTTTTAGTGGTCCATGTTTGCAGTTCATAATAATTACACTCACCGTGGGGAGTTGGTACATGTACAGAACACATCTCAATTTTTTCCCTTCTCTTCCACCCCTTTTCTTAAAATGTTTTGGCCAGCATCAGATTCATTTAGTTATCTTCTAAGTACTTATTAAGTTAACTACCATATATACAGATTAACAACCAGACTAACGTGCCAAAAAACATATAAGATGATTACACTAAATCAAGGCACACTTTTAGATACATTGTCCATGCTGGACTACAATAACTTCTTTCTCTTTTTTTCTTATTGTTTATCTTTTGCTTTGCACTTTATTGCCATACTGCATTTCTCATATTAGAAAAAAATGTTATGTTTAACCTTGTGTGTCTGATTTATTTAACATTATGGGCTATCCATTCGGGACCCCTCCTGCCCCTCAGAAGCTTTCCTATCAATAAATATCTTCCAGGGGCCGGGGATTTAGCTCTGTGGTTCCGGAGCCTGCCTCACAAGAGCAAGGTCCCAAGTTTGATCCCTGGTACCAATAAATAAATAAATAAATAAGTATTTTCCTACTTTCAACCTCAAAAAAAAAAGATGATGTAAACATTTATGGCCTCGAGGTGCATCCATTTTCCTGCAGGTGACTCAAGTTTATCCTTCTTTATGGCAAAATAGTACTCCGTTGTGTATAAATGTCACATTTTCTTTATCCTTTCATCTGTTGATGGACATATAGGCTCCTACCAAGATTTAGTTTTTATGAATTGTGCTGCTATAAACATGGGAATATATACATCACTATGGTATGATGTCTTTAACTCTTTGGGGAGGATAGCTAGAAGGGCACTAGCTGGGTCAAATGGAGCTTCTAGTTTAAGTTTTTTGAGGAATCTCCACACGGATTTCCATTGCAGTTGTATCAGTTTACATTCCCACCAGCAATGGAGAGCCTCCCACAGCGCCTCATCAGCATTTGTTATTGGGTGATTTCTTTTTTTTTTTTTTTTTTGGTACCGGGGATTGAACTCAGGTCCTTGCACTTGCACAGCAGGCAATGAAACCACTGAGCTAAATCCCCGGCCCACCGGGTGATTTCTTGATAGCAGCCATTACTTCTGGAGTGAGATGGAATCTCAGCGTAGTTTTCATTTGCATTTCTCAGATAGCCAGCGACATTGAGCATTTTTTCATGTATCTATTGGCCACTTGTATTTCTTTACCTGAGAAATGTCTATTCATTTCAGATGCCCATTTTTTGATCAAGCCTTTACATTGGAAAGTCTATTTTTTTTAGTTTTTTATATGCTCTAAATATTAGTCCTCTGTCTGAGCAGTACCTGACAAAAATTTTTCCCCATTCTGTAGGTTAGCTTTATACTCTGTTGATGGTTTCCTTTACTGTGCAAGAGGTTCTTAATTTGATTTGACCCCATTTGTTGATTCTTGGTATTATTTGTGGGCCCAGGGATTTAGCTCAGTGGTTCTGCCACCTGCCTCGCAAGTGCAAGGTCCCGAGTTTGATCCCCAGTACCAAAAAAAAAAAAAAAATAGAGTTTACCTATTTTGTCTTCCAGCAGATTATTTCTGTTCTAATGTTTAGATCTTTGATGCATTTTTATTTTAAATTAGTGCATGGTGAGAGGTATGGGTCTAGGTTCAGTCTTCTGCATGTGAAAAGCCAGTTTTCCCAGCACCATTTGACAAAGAGGCTCTCTCTCCTCCAGTGAAGGTGTTTGTCCCCTTTTTCAAAGATCAGATGGCTGAGTATGCCTGAAGTCGTTTCTGCATCCTGTGTTTTTGCCAATACCGTGCTGCTTTTACACTTTGTAGCATAACTTGAAGCCCAGGACTATGATGCTTCCTTCCTGACCCTTGTTGCCCAGAGATGCTTTTGGTGTTTTAGGTCTCTTCTGGTTCCATAGGAATTTTAGTATTGCTTTGTCTAGTTCTGTGAGGTACACTGTTAGTATTTTGATTGGGATTACGTTACATCTGAATGACAGTTTCAGAAGTATAGCCATTTTGACTTAGCATCATTATTGACAAGTCAAAAATAAAACCAATCCAAAATTTCATCAACAGATGAATGTATAACCAAACTTCAGTGTGAAATATCCACACAATGGAATGTTATTCCACCAAAAAGTGAAGTATTGATGCCTACTACAAAGTGGATGAAACTTGAAGACATTGTGCTAAGCAGAAAAAGGACAAATGTTATGAGTCCACTTATACAAGCTACCTAGAACAGGCCAATTCATAGAAACAGAGAATGGGGTGGTGGTTACTAGGGGCTGGGGGAGGGGAACTGAGAGTTATTATGTAATAAGTGCAGAATTTCACTTTGAAACAATGAAGAAATCCTGGAAATACATAGGGTGATTGTGACACAAAACTGTAACTATAGTTAAGGCCACCAAATCATATGTACAGTTAAAAAAGATTAAGTGGCAAGTTTTATGTGACATATATTTTATCACAGTTTTTAAAAAAGAAGCTGTACACAGAAGAATATATCCGTATGTTTTCATTTATATGAAATTCTAGAATAGGCAAAAGTAATGCACAGTGAGGTCAGAATGGGGGTGGCCTTTGGAAGAGGGTAGGCAAAGGGGAGCCTACTGCTGGGGTACCTGTGAGGTGTGACTGAGAACTACAGTGAATGTTTAAAGAAATAGCTATCAGGGTAAAAGATGCATTGCCATGAAACCCCTTCAGAACGCTCACTTTGCACACACTTGGCCAATCCTTCTTGTCGCTTTCTGGAAGTCCTCTTTCATGAGTGCCTATAGTTGTGCAGTCATGCCTGCCTCCATGTCCTGAATTGATTCAAAATGTTGACCTTTCATGGTCATTTTGACTTTGAGGAGAGCCACAAGTGTGTTCCAAGCAAGGAGTACTAAGAGAGTGTAACGGCAATGTATCTTTTGTAATATTTTTTATGAAACATTCACTATATAATTTGATCACACCTCATCCTTTGGGCCAGGGTAGAAGTTACACACACACACACACACACACACACACACACACACGCACACATACTGACATTGTCAAGCTGTCACTTTACAGTACCTAAACTGTATTTCCATTTAAAAGGGGAAATAGAAACTGAGGAAGGCCATGATTTTTGCTTGCATTTCTACAACCCCTTGATTGTGGAGACAGATGCTCTGGGTAGACCTGCCCTTACGCCATCACTGCAGGAAAGCCAGAAGCCCCCAGGGCCCCCAAACCTTCATACTAGGAATGCAGAGAATCAGCTTCTTGCCTTGGTCACTCCAAGTGAGCAAGGTAACTCCAGCGCATCTAGGAGGCGTCTTGACTTTGGGCATGGGCACTGGGCAGTGGGATGAGGAAGGGGACAGGGAAGAATGTTCCTACGTGGTGTGTGAGCCTGCCAGTTTCTGAGGCGCGCTGGGGGGGTGATGGGCAGAGGTGTGGCAGGAGGGGTCAAATTTGTCCCATGCAGCTTGCAGATGAGCAGAAGAGGCTGAAGCACTGCTTTCCCAGGACACTGTGTGGCTCTGGGCACCAGCAGTGTGGCCCTGGGAACACAGTATGGAACAAAGCCATAGTCGGGGCACGCTTTTCCCCATCCCTTTCTGGCCCCTTTTTGAAGCCTGCACTCCTCCAGCAGTTTGGAGAACTGGACCCAGCATCCTGGGCTAGCAGGCTTGCCCGCTCGTTTGCAGCTCAGGGGTGGGGGTGGGGCAGCCAACCTGCATCCCACAATTGCGCTGGTGGCTCTGGGACCATTGTTAACTTGGGCATTGGAAGTTAGGATGACTTCAGTCTATGCCCACAGTCAGCAAAGCTGGACAGGACCACCGCGTATGTATAGCTCTGTTTGGTGTGTGTGTGTGTATTAAGTGTGCATGTCTTTTTTGTAAATGATGTGCTATGGTATGTAGCACATTACCAAGAACATTTTCTTTGTCATTAAAGACTTTTGAGACTGTCCTTGAGATCAGGAGCCTTGCCCAGTGGCCAGTCTCGCCCCATCTCACACTAGCAGCCATCACCCTCCCCTCCTTCTGCTCTCCTGTGCGTCCCCCACTGTGCCTGAGCTCTTTTCCTGGTCCCAGCAACCCCTGGGGTCGTGGCTTACTCCTTCCTCACCAGAAAAAAAGGCACTTGTTTTCAGAAGCCAGAGCAGGCAGCCCAGGTTGTCCAATGTCAGCCACTAGGAAGAACACACCTTCGCAGCAAGTCCCACCCACCACCTCCCACCCCCACCAGCTCACCACATTGGCTAACTGTAAGAGGGGCCTGTGACTGCTGGGGGACACTGCAGGTTGTCACAGGGGTGCAACTTGCACCTGAGTTTCCTGATTCTCCAAGGTCAATACTGTAACTCTAGTGGGGAAAAAATAATTTATCAAGAAATCATGCGGTAAAGCCACAAACCACTTTTATTTAATTGCTACCACAAAAAGAAAATAGAATTAAGGCAGTATAATACATTCCTGCTTAGCCTTACAAGCTTTTGTACAGTAAACTTCACTTAAAGTGTCAATTTGAATCAACACTTGAAATGTTGGTTAAACAGCAGTATTTTTTCCCTTAAATTCTAGAGAATCATTCCCTGGGCTGTCAAGTGTGCTGATGCAAGAATGCTACAGCATCACATTGTGTGTCACTGCACCTCAGTCAAATGTGCTGGGACTGAGGGGCATTGGCTTCTCTTCCTCAGCAGAGGGACAAGGCTTTTGGCAGAATACAGCATATTTCATTCAGTTCTGGCTACCACTTATTACCAAAAATTCCCTTGCGAATACAAAAGAAAGATGTAAACACTATGTAAAAACTTCAACATGTTTAAAAAAAAACTCCAAGGTTAAAGGTAGTTATGAATTATAAAAATGACTAATGGAGCCCAGCAAACATTTGGATTTTAAGAGAAATTAGTTATGAGTGAATCTCTGTGTGTGGAACTAAATGTAAGAAAATCCTGGCAAACACTACAAAAGTTAAATGACTAAAAATAGGGTAAAAGCATCTCACCATTTGCAACCCTGTTTGACTACAAAAATCAGCACCAATATTTGAATTTTCATAAAATGCAAATAATTTGGTGTGACTGTATTTTTCCTTTTGCCACTTGATATCACAGGCATAAATTTATTTTAATAAGATCTTATCAAATTGTATTCTTCAGATATGGGTCGTATTTTGTCACTGTCTTTTGGAAAACACCTTCTCGTAACTGCTTTTCTGACTGCCATGAAAAAGTAGAACAAAGAGTTAACACAGTTGAAAACATAAAGCTATGCAGTCACAGTCACTTGCCAGAAGTGGTCACCAAGGCACACCTTTACCACAGCGCTGGGAGTGGGAGAAGAAAGCAGGAGCAGCAGAGGAAATGGGTGAGGGGTTGAGGGCAGGAGTGGGGAAATCAGAAACTAACAGTTCTGCTTCCGGGGTCACTGGGGGCTGGAGGTTAACTGTAGGAGGAAAGGGAGGCTGGGAACAACAGATGTCAAATTTGAGGGGAATTTGACCTGGAAGATAGCAAGAGCCACATACACATTTTGCAAGTACACAATGTCAAGGAGGAGTATGCCTGAAAGATGGATGTCAGCACCCGCGTGTGTCTGTGTGTGTCTCACTTTGGATTACATTTGCAGAAGCAGCTAGAAAGTGGACCACCGCCTGGCCACTCACAAGAGCACTTTTCACATGGCCATCTCATCAGATTTATCTTCAACATCCACAACCACCATGTTGGTGCAATCTTTGGTGGCAGTGGTGACTACAGTAGGGTCAGAGAGGTCAGTGGTGGTGGCAGGCTCTGGCTTGCTGACAGCAAGCTCAGGCTCAGTGGACACCCTGGTAGGGCTGGAGACAGACTCAGGGAGTTTGATGACGGCAATGTTGGACTCAAGGTGTCCAGTAGTGGCCCTCTTGGGGCAGCGGGGGGCAGGAAGCTCAGGGGGGCCAGTAACAAGCTTGATGTGGCCAATGGTGGATTTAGGGTAGCTGGTGGCTGGGCTGAAGGCAGCCCTAGAGTAGCTGCGAACAGTGACATGACTAGTGGCAGACTTGGGAGCAGGCTGCTTGAAATGCACAGTGTCACCCTTAAAGTGGACAGAGACAGGCTTAGAGTGGACAGAGGTGGGCTTAGGATGAACAGAGGCAGACTTGGGGTGGACAGAGACAGACCTGTGGTGGCTAGAGCCAGACTTCCGGTAGACAGAGGAGGCCCGGGAGTGGGGTCTGGGGTGGCCAGAGGCAGGACCGGGGTGGCCAGCTGCAGCATCACCAGGCAGTGGGACATTCCGGTTGGTCATTGGGATTCCCTCCAAGGCAGGACTGCCACGGGCACAGTCTTGTTCACGGGCCAGGTCGCGGGCGCGGGTACGGTCATGGGCCAGGGCACGGGCCTCCTGAGTCTCACGAATAGCAGTGATGACGTCAGAGATGAACAGGATAGGGTGCCGGATGGCATGGAAGATGGTCCAGTACTCTCGTCGGAAGTTCTCATTGAGAAGCCCATAGACAACAGCATTGAGACAGCTGTTGAAGTAGGCTATGAAGTATACTGCAAGATAGAGCCAGTTGGGGATCTTGCTCGCCATCTCCTTCGGACCAACAGCCACCAACACAGTGAGCATGTTGATAGGGCCCCAGCACACTGCGAAAAGGAGGAAGATCACAAACATGGTTAGAAAATTTCGAACCTCAGCGAGTTGGTTGTCACGGTTCTGCCCAGCCGGGTCACGGGTTGCCAACACTTTTCTCCAGACCCTCATGTAGCAGAAACCGACGATGAGGAGAGGAAGGAAGAAGTGAATGCCAACGATGGTCACAGTGAAGACAGAGTTGTTGAGATAGTTGAAGATGCAGGTGTAGCTGTGGGGGTCGTACTCAATGGTGCCAATGTACATGTTGGGCAGGACAGCCAGAATAGCCATGACCCAGGTGACAACCAAGTAGATGCAGGTGTTGCGCACACTGAAGATCCGTTCATATTTGAGGCTGTGGCAGATGTAGCAGTAGCGGTTGATGGCAATGGCCAGGATGTTGAAGACGGAACCAACTACGCTCAGCCCTGTGATGAACCCGACCATCTGGCACTGCAGCTGGCTGAGATCCCATCCCCCAGTGGACATGGCATGCAGCATCATGGGGTAGGGGTAGATAGCCATGAGCACGTCGGCTGCGGAGAGGCTGACCACGAAGATGTTGGCTGGAAAACACGGAGGAGGAGAGAGGGGAGACAAAGAAGAAGAAATGGTTAAAGTGTGCCAATCTACAAATTTAAAGTGGAGGAAAGGCCAGCTGGACCAGTGGCAATTCCAAGTTCCTGAGTCCCTTGAAGAAATGCAACCGTGATTTTACGTTTATTTACAAGCAGGCCCAGGGTGACTGGGACGCAAAGCCAGGTTGGGAGATCTGCCATTTGCCCACCCTTTTGTCCTCTCAGTGTCACCTGCGCTGAGGGGTGGGGGAGCGAACAAAAGACCCAGTGAGCACAGAAGGGTCGCAAGAAGGCACAGCTGCACTGACACCATTTTCGAGAAAACAAAGTGCAAACTGTATTTCACACGGGGTAGGGAAGAGAGGTCGCAGTGGGTTAGGTAAGAGATGACGCTGAGAAAGGACGTAAAGTCCATTTTCTTCAATAGTCTTATCCAAAGGGCTCAGACAGTAACCTAAGCGTGAACCCTGCTATTACTCACCCTCTCGGAGGGAACCTTGTGGTAAGGCCTGGGCTGGGGGGAGGGGAGTCCTACGACCAAGAAATAGTGCTTGTGCCCCTGTGGGTGTGTGCGTGTGCGCATGTGTGTGTGCGTGTGTGTGCACGCGCGCCCACACGCGCTGGGGTAAGGGGATCCCCATCAGAACTGGCAGAAGTGCGTCCTTCACACCTGTCCCGCAGAGCTGGGCACGGGTCCCTAGCCCATGGCACTGAGCCTGCAGGCTACCCTGGAAAGAGAAGGGGACCCCCACATCCCTCAGGCCTTCACGAAAAGGAGAAGCTAGAGGCCAAGGGCGGGCGGGCGCCTGGCGCTTTCTTTGGAAACACCTCTTTGCTAATTAGCACTGCTTTGGCAAAGTACTGCGCTCATCTTGTACTGGAAGATGTGGACTTTGTAAGGGCAGCGGGCCGGCTCCTTCTGCCTGCTTTGCTGGTGCTGCCAAGATTCCGCTCCAGCGCTCTCTACCCAAGAGGTTCTTTCCAGGGCTTTTCCTCAAAGTGATGAGAGAGGGCAAAACCTCTCTTTAGAAACAAAACCACGACAACCATAAAAACTTTTATTTGGATAAGGGAAGGGAAGGGAGAAAGAAAGGCGGAAAGGAAAGTAAAAGGACTTCGCAGGTGGTCCCCGGGGCTCCATGGCTTGCCACCTTCAGACTGCACTCTGGGAGTGAAGGTGGGGTCCAGGGCGCGGCCCCACGTCTCTAGGTTGCGGAGAAATCGGACGACCCTTCAGCGCTTAAAAGACAACTTCTACGGACTGCTTGTCCAACCTTGCAGTTAGAAACTTGCGCGGTGCCTGTGACTCCTCATTGCAGCAAAACAACCCCCCCCCCCGCAGTACCCCGCGCCAGACCCCAGCCTCTCCTCTTCCCCGTGCCCCACCCGCACGAGTCCAGTCGGCCCCCCAGCTCCTTTGAGACCTTGGCGACCAAGACACAGGGCACCACCCATGCAGCTGGGGCCCCTTCGCCAGCCCAACCTGAAAACGGGGATCGCCCTCTCCCACCGCCTCCCGCACAGGTCTCGGTGCTCATCTTCCCGCGGGTCCCCAAGCCCGCATCGCTGCCGGCTGCCCACCCTCAGCACTGGCGAGCAGCTGGGGGAGTCCCGCTCGCTGGTCCCGGACTCAGGCGCTTTGCATTCCCAGCCCCTCCAGTCCCCCAGCTCCCGGGCCAGCCGCCCCCGCCCGCCGCAGATGTCCACTGTCCCGCTGCCTGCGATCTCACCGCCCCTTGGCAGCGCCGCGCTGCTGACCCTCTGCGCCATCCCACCCGGGACCCCAAGAGCCCCGCTTACGGACCTCAGGATCGCCACCGCCGACGCCACTGCTGCCGCTCGCTCCCTCCGCCGAGAGCCCTAGGACGGGCGGACCGAGCTGGGCTGCAGGGGGCTCGGAGCTCCCCGCTCGACCATCGGGCGCGGGGGTCTGCGCTCCGCCACTCAGAGCCCCTCGGGAGCTCCGGGGCCGCAGCGAGCGGGGTCTCGCTGGGCTCGGGCGCGGCCAAAGCTATGCTCTTCGGAAACAACCACAACGGCCGCCGCGAAATTAACTTTTCCCCAAAGGGCTGGGCTCGCGACACCGCTGCTCCCTCCACGTCCGTCTGCTCGCGGAGCCTCAGCGCTGACGCCCTTGTGGCGTCCAGCGCTGCTGGCTGTCCCGGAGAAGCCGCGACACTCTCCGCCTCCGGCCCCCGACGGGAGCGGGAGCGAGGGACTGCCACGCACCGCGGGGGCCCGGGCTTTGCAGTGGGATGCTCCCAGCTAGCTTCTGAGCCTTCCCCTGGCCTTAGGGAGCCCCCAAGTTTACGGGACCCAGGCACCGCATCGCCCCTCCCCAGGCTTGCGAGGAATTGAGGAGCGGGGACATTCCGTGTGAACGGGGCGCCCACACTAACACTTTCCAGGTTGCAAGCGCTGCACAGTGGGTAGGGAGAGGAAGGGTGGCTTACCAGAATTCCGGAGCTTCTTGTTCCTCGTCACAGCCAAAATGACCATGGAGTTGCCGATCAGGTCAACAATGACGGTGAAGACCATCGCGGAGAACATGAAGGTAACTAGGGCCGGTGGGTAGTCCGGCTGTGGCAGCTTACAACCAATACAGCCATAGGGGGTCGGGACTGCCAGGTTGGGCCCCATGCTGCTCCCAGAGACCCTTAAGATCACCCAGGAGGCTCAGGATCAGCAGCCGGCTGGGATAGCCAATACCTGCCCTGTTGCTGCTCTGTCACCAGGACCTAAGGGAAAGCGTGCCCTCCTCTCAGGTGTTCAGAGAGCAAATGACAGCGGTCTCCCCCCCTCCGATGAGCTTTTAAAGCCTCGAGAAGTGGCCAGCCCCACCCCAACCCCTCCCCTTGACCAATCAGAATTCCCCGGCCACCCACTCCTTAATTACCACCTCCCCCCCACACACAAATCCACAGCGAGGTGTCCTCTTGCTTCCGATTGCCTTGTCTGTGCTTCTCTGAGCCCGCCACCCCTCCAGCCTGTCCCTCAGGTACCTGCTTCCTGACTAGCTCAGAGTCCACCTTCCCCTCCCTTCCAGCCCACCCGCATCTGTTTCTAGCAAATTCTCCTTTCCCTTCAATACAAACACCTGGCGAAGGACTAGAGATTGTAGGACGGACGGGGACATGGGTTGCAGGGGACAGCCGGTGGTCCTTAAAGCTTAGCCCTACAGTATCCTTAAGAGGTTGCCCCCACTCTCCAGGCTCTTGAAGGACCAGAGCCCTTCTGCACCCGGTGGGGAGCAGGGGACCACTGCTGAGGGGGCTTCCACCCCAAATCGGGGTCCCTACTCTTGGGGAACTTATATCTGCTGTTTCCTTCAGGAGCCGGATTAGCTCCCGTAGCGGCAGCAGCAAGTGGCTTCTGGGTCCCCGTAAAGGTCGTGCACTCCACATGAACAAATGTAGCCTGTGTCCCGCTCTAGAAGCCGAGAGCGGTGCGCACGCTAGGAACTAGGGGAGGCAGCTGGTGACCGCTTGGTCACCGGCTTCGGGGCGAGCGAGAGCGGGACTTCATCCCTCCCAGCGGCGGCTCTGACGGAGCGGGTCGGGGCTGCCTAAAGAGCGCTTCCAGGACATCCAGGGCCAGCCGCTCCGCCTTCTGGCCCCTGTCCCGGTGCTCCGCGCGATCTACTGGGCGAAGCAGGGCTGTGGGCTGGCTGAGCCAGCGGTGCCGCGGTGGCAGAGAGGGTGCCCCGTCCCCGGTCGGCCGCCTGGAAGCCATGGGCCGCCCAGCGCCCTCTGTCCCACTTCAGACTCCCCTCGGCCCTTCTCCCCGACGTTCCCCAGCAAGGGTCTTATTTCCACCCTTTCCCTGTCCTCCCAGACGTCTCGACCCCCAATCTGGAAGCCCGCCGGCCTTGGGAAAACCTCAACTACAGGGATGCGATCCAGCGCTGGCCCCTCAGCAAGGGTGAGGTAGAAGGCCCTGCCCCGGCAGCTGCTCTCTCTCTGTTCCCCAAGTGCTGCACAAGGCTCCGGACAGAAGGGAGCTCGGAGCGGGACAGACCTCGAAGGAGGCTAGAGCTACAGGCTGGGGCTTAGGGGTCACCGGCTGGGCGTCTCTCGCACTCAGACTGGGGGTGCGGGCTGCTTGGGACTGCCACCAGACACCAGCACTCTCCCTTCGGGAGTGGATTTCAGCTTGCCGCTGAAAGTCCAGAGTGCTGTCCGAAAGCCTCTCAGAGAATCTCCGCGGACACCTCGAAATTCATTCCAGACCAGCCTTCTTGCCACCCCGGGGGCGGGGGCTGCACTGGCCGGGAGCGCCACCGTCTGGACACAGCAGCCCCCCGCCCCGGGGTAAACGGGGTGGCCGTGGTGGGGGATCTGGGGGCGCGTAGATCTCAACATTCAGAGACCTTTAAAGGGAAAACACAAGCTGCGGAAAACTCTAACGGTACACACGTTCTCTGGCGAAAACCCAAAGAGAAGATATGTTCCCTTGCTTGAGGCTGAAGCCCCCAGCCCCATCCTGTGCTCCCTACTGAGAACAGGAATGGGCGCCAGTTAAACAGTGTCCTGCCCGCAGCCCTTTTGCGTTCCTCATCTCCCGGCTCTCCTCGCGGCTGCATCCCCGCAGGCCGCATCCCGACCGCTGGCCTGTGCTCTCCCCGAGACTCGGGCAGGGGTTTCCCGCAAGCACAGCCCAAGCCGCAGCTCTGCGGTCCTCTCTGCCCCAGTGCGCGCCTCGCAGAGAGCCCGGCAGCCCAAGCTGGTGGGATTTCGTCGGATTCACCTCGGGTTATTCATACCGACTTCCTGGAGGGTTTGAATCCCTTTGCTTGTGGGAAGGAGCTACAGTATTTTAAATTCAAGTGAACAAATAAAAAAAATTGAAGGGGGGAAAGGAGAGACAAGAATTCCAGGGATTTAAGACCCTAGACTCCAGCAGCAAGCGATGCTGTGAGGCCAAACAGCGACTCTCCCGGCGCTGCGCGCCCAGCCAAAGCGATCCGGAGCTGGCTCAGCCTCGGCGCCGGAGGTTGCCTGTGGTCGGCCTGGGAAGGACTGAGCCACTCTGGCCGCTGCCCCTTTGGACGCTACAAGACCGGGAGCTTCTGAGACCTGGGTTTTTCAATACCAAGAGGCAGATACTTTAATAACCTAAGGAGTCAGTGCCAACCCAAGCCGGTCCGCTCTGGAGAACTCTGTAACTGATTGAATTAATTTTCTTATTTTTATGAACTAGTCCTAATAGAGGTTCTGAACATTGCTCCGTTGCTAAGAAAAACAGTGAATCAATCAGATGGAAACATGACCAAGAGAACCAAGACCTCTTTGCCAGGGTAGAAGTCTCACATGCAATAAACTCAATCACTTTGGAAAGGTAAAGTCAGAGCCCTTTACAGGGTACGGTACAGAACGTATGGCTTAAGATCCCAAAGATGTAAAATTAAACCTCTTTCTAAATGGCCTGCTAGGGATAAATGGATAAAGAAAATGTGGTTTTTACACACAGTGGTGTACTGCTGTGTCATAAGGAAGGATAAACTTGAGTCATATGCAGGAAAATGGATGCTCTTTGAGACCATGACGTTACATGAGATAAATCAGACACAGGAGAGTAAAGAGCACATGGCTTCTCTTGTATGAAAAATCCAAGATATAAACATCAAAGCAAAAGATAGATATATCATGTACAGGTACAAATTCCCTATGATGAATGTTACCATTATGTATATCTAAAATCTACCAAACAACTCCTTAAAATGCAAAAAAAAAAAAAAGAAAAGAAAGAAAAACAAAAGATAGGTAATAAGAAATAAGAAGACAGATGTTTTGCAAAAAGGAAGGGAGCCAGGAGATGGAGGAGGAGGGAGAGGAGGAGAAGAGGATGAAAAAAAGAATGAAGATGTGTTATGTACTTGTACCAACTCCCCACAAAGAATGTTAATCATTATGTACTGCAAACATGGATGAATAAAAATTTTGCAAAATAAAATATGAGGCCTGCTGGGATGCCTTAGTAAGTGGGGGTGCATAGAAACCCATTATTGGAGATTTGAAAGCAGTCAAGATAAAAATCCAAATGCAGGAGAGCGGCGACATTCTCTTCTGCTCAGGAATGAGAGGCCTTCTGGTGTGTGCATGCAGAGCGCCTGCATCTCTCCAGCCAGACCTATGGTGACCATCGCACAGGAACCTTCTAGCAAACTTTCTAGCTCTGCTTAACCCTCTAGTACTACAATAGTGCACTGCCTGTAATTAGGGAGTGTTATTTTAAGTTACCATTTGATAGCTTTCTAAAGCTTCTACAGGACACATTTTAACCCAGGAAGACCATTAAATAGATAGGGAAACTGAGGCCTAGAGAGGTGAAATGACTTGCCCAAGGTCATGGCAAAGCTGGTAGAGGAGCACAGGCTCAGATCCAGACTCAGTCCTTCCTCAGCCAGCCCCACTTTTCCCCCACACCCAGCCTGGTAAGATAGTGTTCTTGTTTCCTGCTGTCTTTTTGTTGTGCTGCTGCTTCTGACTCCTTTGTTTTTATTGAGATTTAATGCTCACACCATAACATTCACCCTTTACAGTGAACAGTCACTTTTGTAAATTAACAAAGCTGTGCAACCATCACCAATGTCTAATTTCCAAACACTTCTATCACCCCAGAAAGAAACCTCAGACCCATAAGCAGCCACCCCTCATTCAATGCCCCCCCAGCCCCCAGTTCCTGGAAATCACTCATCTGCTCTCTGTCTGGATGGATTTGCCTATCTGGACATTCCATATAAACAGGACCACACAGTATATGGTTTTGTGTGTCTGGCTTCTGTCCCTTAGCACTTTCACTGACGCAGTAGTGGGGTTAATACTTCCTTTTCTCGGCTGCATGACATTCCATTGTATGGACAGACCAGCTTATCTGTTCTTCCATTGACATTTTCCTGCTGTTAGGAGAAGTGATGCTGGGAATATCCAGGCTTCTCTTTGGCCCCAGGATGGACAAGCAGAGGGCCTCTTAGACCCACTGCCACTGTCCTGCAAGTAGGGCTGGACAACCCAGGGCTGTCTCCAGCTTCCTCTGCTCAGTATTTCTCTGAATTACTGAATCATTTGCTAAAGCCACCTTACATACCATTGGGGGATTCTCTAATATAGAAAATGAGAACTTGGCCTAACCCCAGTAAAAGTGAAAATGTCTTTCCGCTGCTGGGTGGATGGATGGATGGGAATTGCATTTGACTTCATTCTTGAAAACAAAACCAAAGTGGAGCCCAGCTCTTTCCACTGATGAGATGAGTGGCCTTGGGCAAGTTGCACAGCCTCCCTGTGTCTCAATGGCCTCAGTATAAAGTGCAGATGGTCCTGGTGCCTCTAAGTTTCATGGAGGGTTACAGGAGAGACCGTGCACTAAGCACTTAGAGCAGAGTAAGCACTCAGCAACCACTAGCTATTATTATTGCTGTTGCTGTTATCATGCAAATTTCTGATGCTCTGTCAATACTATTGCATTTCTCTCCAGGACACAAGCTTTCTGGGATATCAGAAATTCCGCAGCCAGCTGGCTCTCCCAGCAGAAGCCACCCAGTGGGCACTCACCAGCATCCCGGGCCACCATGAGACTCATGTAGGTGAAAGAGACTCACGATGACTTGCCTTTACACTGCCTGTCTCTGCCGAGATGCTGCCCTGCTGTGGCTCGTGTGCTTTGCCACAACAGAGAGTGATGGAATTTGTGGACGTGGCTCAGGAGAAGCAAGGGGAAAGGCTGCGTGGCTGGGGTGAGCTTAGGCAGGGAAGCAAGGGCCCTG